AAGAAGATCCCATCCCTCGCAAAATTTTATGCATCGCGAGAAGATTCCATCCCTCGCAAATTTGAACATCGCGGGAAGATATTCATGCCCTTCAAGCAATCATGCACTGCCAGAAAAAGAATCGTGCATCTCAAAGGAAATATTTATCCAACGTCAACTGACGTTAAATGCCGATGAGAGAAATTGAGTGTCGACACGGTGGAAGACACTGTCTCCCATTTAAATTGCATTTTTAAGCCATTTAAAGTGCAAACCACTTTAACAAGGACGCAACACATCATTGAACCTTTTGGAGACAGGTCTTGGATTGACTTCCACCACATGCAACCACACTTCTCTACAAAGGTCATGTGTTCAGTTAAAATTGGATTTGTCAATTTTCGTTGTCCATGATTTCTTTCATCAATCATACACAACGAAAGGGACAGCTGTTGGCACCCAATTTTGGCCTAACATTTTAAAAATTCGTGATTTTGAAGCTTTATTTATTTAATAGCAAATTTTGATCCGATGATTTTAAGATTCATACATTTTGAGTCAAATACAAAAAAAATAAAAAAATATGTCTTTCTCACATTGTCTCTCAAACAATTTTCAATTTTGCAATAGTCCACATCGGTATTTCATCCTTTTTGAGGATTTTTAGGTTTCTATATAAACCCACTTCATTCACTATTTTTAAGAGAGGATTTGGAGGGGAAAACGAAAGAATACTCATAAAATTTTGAGAATTCTTGGTTCCCATTGTTCAAAAATTTTAAAGTGTTTTTGTGGTTTTTCGAGTTGAGGAGGTGGAGTCGTCTCCTTCAAACTCGTAGTTCTGGTTCGCCGCTCAGAACCAGGTAAATTTTTTTTTCTTAGCCTTGTTTTATTTAATTCCCAACTCTTTTATGTTTTTTGTTTATTATATGTAGCTTATTTTGTGTTTTTAGTTTAATGTAGTTCTAAAAGTCAATTAATATTTGTGTTTATTGTAGTTTTAATATTAGCATTATTTTACGGTTTGATGTTTATTTATTGGGATAATGCCCAAGTACCCCCTCAACCTATGCCTGAAATCTCAGAGACACACTTATACTATACTAAGGTCCTATTACCCCCCTGAACTTATTTTATTAATAATTTTTTACCCCTTTTCGACCTACGTGGCACTATCTTGTGGGCCCAACGATGGTTGACTTTTTTTTCAAACTAGTGTCACGTAGGCTAAAAAGGGGCAGAAAATTACTTATAAAATAAGTTCAGGGGGGTAATAGAACCTTAGTATAGTGTAAGTGTGTCTCTGGGATTTCGGACATAGGTTGAGGGAGTACTTGTGCATTTTTCCTTATTTATTTATTATTATTATTATTATTTTAAAATTGTTAGTCAACTATTTGCTATCTTAACTTTTCAGGGTTTTGTTATTATTCTATTTTAATGTTATTTTTAATTTTTATATATTATGTTATTGTTATTTCCATTTCTAATTATGTTGTTTTAGTTTGGTTGTTGTTTTCCATATTCTCTTGGGATAAGTTTGTTATGTTTTGTTGATGTTCAGGTTATATTAAGTATATTTGTTAAATGGCTGATGAAAAAACTCTCCGTCGTTTTTGGAGGCCTCCCCATTTTTAAAAGACGAAATTTTAATTCAAGTTTATATATTTTATATGTTTAAATTGGCCAATGAGAAAACTCTCCGTCGATTTTGGAGTCCTTCCCATTTTAAAAGACGGAATTTTAATTTAAGTTTATATATTTTAGTTGTTGAAATGGGCCGATAAAGAAATTACCGTCGATTTCCAAGGCCTCCCATGTTAATAAGATGTATTTTTTATTTTTTAGTTATTATTTGAGTTTTATTTATATTTATTTGGTACTAATTCTTTTACTAAGTGTATATAGGTACTCGGAGGTGCTTCTCCTTGAAATTATTCGAATGTAGTTCGAATCATACTTATAATTTCATTATCTTGTGAATATTGACGTTAGGCAAACTTAATGCCGATTATTATTTTGTTTTATTTTGTATATTGCATGTTTATTATATCTGTACATTATTTTATATTCTTCCTCAATTTGAAAAAAAAATGAATTCAGTCGGGAACCACATTTGTGGATTCCGAAGGGTGCCTAACCCCTTCCCTTCGGAATAACTTGAACCCCTTACCTAAGAATCAAATTGGTTTCGTAGATTAATAATTGGTTGTCTTGTTTTCCTAAAATTAGGTGGCGACTCTTTTCAAAACTCGTTTATTTTTAAAACTTTGTTAAAATTGAAACAATTAATGATTTTCGAGTTGCCTCGACGTTTCGCCCTATTTCGCCAGAGTAGGGATGTAAACATAATGTATTACTTTCCATCCTCAACTAATATTAGCACCAAATATTGTTCGTATCTTGCAAAGAAGGAAATAATAAGAAGTGTAAGAGTAATAACAAAAAATGAATAAATATAATGATATGAAATCTATATCCTATCAATTTTAAGGCATAATTATCTAAAAAGTATTTATAACATTGTTATTTTAGTTGCTTTTTTTTATTTATACATTTTACAAAAAAATCGTTATTATTATAACATAAAAAATAAGACAACATAACGTATTATATCTTTACACCACTAATTAAAAAAATAATTTATAGCAAAAATATCTGAAAAATGTTTTTGAAAACTATGCTTGCACACACACGTCAAGAATGCTTTAAATAGAGTTGTATTTTCCAAAATTAACCTTAGTAATAATGGTTTCGAGCTTTATTACTTTATATAATTATTTAATACTAAGAATAATAATAAAAAATAACTAAGACTCACTAAATTACTAGATGATATTTACATGGACCTTCCTCTAAGGATTTTAGATTCAGAGTTAGGGCTAAGCAAGTATGTAAAATTCTCTAAATCCTCGTAATATTAATGTACACAAATTTAATGTACTCCAAGCCGAGGAAAGAAAAAAGAATTGACTAAAAAAATAAGAGTAATAATAGTAATGTTCTTGCAAAAAAAAATAATTTTAAAATTTTTAGAATACAATTTTTTAAAACAAAAGTTACTATCACTTTGGCGAGTTGAAAGAAGAGTACAAATATCATTATATCACATCTTCTTGATATGACTATTATATACAATTATATATATATATATATTTTTTTTTTTTTAAAATTCTAACTCTTGGATGATGATATACAATCTAGCAAATCAAACTAAAAAAATAACACTAAGGTATAAAACCTATCGATCTAGGTATACAAAAATACATGATATTACACAAATTGATGGAGGACATTTTTCATCAAGGAATTGGTGATAATTTGGTTAGTTTTTTGGGTGAGATGGAAAGAATCCCAAAAAACATACTTATTTGGGTCAGGGCATGTGAGTGGATTTAACTTATTACATAAGTAACTCATTTCGAATAATCCTGTGCCACAACATGCTATACGTTCCACTTCAAATCCTGTTTTAAAACAAAACAAATCATTAGAACATAATCAATTATACATTAAAAAACGCTCAAATTAGCTATGAACTTTGTCACTGTTCTGTCGTTAGCATAAAAGTGTCGCTAATTCTTCGCTATATATATATATATATATATATATATATATATACTAAAACGATTGAATTTATCGACGATAAACAATGTTTGCTAAACAATAATATTTGTCACTAATTTTACTAGCAAAGAATTAGTGACACTTTTATGCTAACGATAGAACAGTGACAAAGTTCATAGCTAATTTGAGCGTTTTTGTACATAAATGGATACTTACCTTTTAGAAATTACAAAATAACTTTACTTGCTAAACTTTAACTTAATTTTACTAGTTTCTATCTTTGTCACATTTATGTGACAGTATTCTAATTTCGAGAGTCAAAATCATTCATGCCTTTTAAACTCTTTAACTATTAATTATTATTTTTAACTTATCGTTTAAATCTCAAAAAGTGAAAATATAATATCAATTAAAACGAAAATGGGCATCCCGTGTATAAGTATTAGGCTCATTCACCTAACACACAATTATTTATCATCATTATATATCTCTAGCCCGTTCTAAATGTTCCTTGAGATATTTCTGCTTATGACTCTTGAATTATAGAAGAAACAACCTCGATTGCCTCTAAGAGCTAACTTATGAAATGAAATGTGTTCAGTTTGTATGATCTTTAGTCATACATATATTTTGTGTGCCACTTCTGATGATTTATGCATTGATGAAATTTAACAAATGAGGTAATTGAAAGATAAAAACTTACCAAATGAGGCAGGATTTTGGACCATTTGAAGTATGATACCATATGGATTAGCAAAAGCAATTCTAATCCCAGGAAGCTCCTTATTTAACTTTTGAATTAAAGCACTCAACATCTCATTAAACTTCAAAGCACAATCATTATAATCGTTATTGCATGTATCACCTTGTCCTCTTAACATATTTGCTGCTCTTTCTAAAGGTAAACAACCCATTGGTGGTAGTCCAGTTAATGATATTTTCCTAGCTCCAAGTTGATAAATTTCTTTAATAAAATTCTCAACATGTCCAATAATAAACCCTCTATACTGTTCTGTTGTGTATTGAAATGCACGTACACTTTGCATTGCAAAATAATTCTCCAAAAAATCATTTGTTCCCATGCTTACAATATAAAGTGCTTCTTCTATTATGTATTTTGATTTTTGGATCCCTACATATGCTTCTAGTCTCTTTTGATACTCCTTGTAGTTCTCTATTTCCTTCCATATTGGCATCACATTCTGTCAAAGGAGACAATCACAATGGTTACTATGTCTCGTACACGTATAGTTGCTCATCAAAAAATAATAGTAATTAATAGTATATTATAACTAATATTTTCTATGTTCTAATTTATATGATGAGTTAGTTTGATCTGAAACAGAGTATAATAAAGAAAAAAAGACTTTTGAAATATATAATCTAAAATAAGTCTTAGATTTTTCTGTGACTATAAATCATTTTATTAAAAATAAATAGACATATTAAAATTAAAAATTATTAATATTAAAATATTAAAATATATTATTCTTATTGAGACGGACCAAAAAAGAATTAAAACAAGTAATATAAATTGAGATAATTTCATCTATATATGACTGACTAGTGGTTGTAATTATTTTTTTATTTTGGCAAGTGGCCAAATATGTAACTCTCCGCTAGAGTTTAATGTAATTTGTCCACTAATTACATGAAATGTGTGTATATTATATTGTAGGCGTATTATAACAATAATATATATATATATATATATATATATATATATATATGAAAGCGAACGGACTTAAGTTATATGCTATGTTAGTTTAATAATGATTTATGATATTTTCTTCGTTTCAATTTATGTGAATCTATTTAGGAAATCTGTAATTTAGAAATAAAGAGTTTTGAAATTTATTATTTTTAACATGTTAGAATATTTTTTTGGCTATAAAACTTTTGAAATTTATAATGTCAAATATAGTATATGTAACGACCTGTTTAGTCGTTTTGAGCAGCAGATTTTATTTCTGGAAAAACAGGCTGAGACGACGGAACCCACGACGGAACGTCATGGGCACGACGGACCGTCGAGGGTGTCTCGTCCCAAAACACTTAGAAAAACTGAAAATTGGGTACTGAAATCGACTCTCTGAACTTCGTAACGGAATGGCAGGACGGACCGTCACAGATTTTTCAGAGAAATTGAGTCTCTGAACTCTGTGACGGGCAGCAGGACGGACCGTCGCAGGCGCGACGGGCCGTCACAAACTGCGAAATCCCAGTCTGGGTCAGAATTTTTGA